TTTTTTTTTTTTCTTTATGCGCCAAATTTTACTGGAGTGGTCTTTTTTTTGTAAATAAATAAAGCGCTTCAGAAGCAATTTTTTTTTTTTTTTTTTCGGACTTGGTTATGAGTCAGTGTGATTGTTCCTCATAGTATTCTGTGGATTTTTTCTTTTTAATTTTATTTCCTTTTTTTGTGAATCATTTTCATAGTGTTGTTTGAGTATTGTTTTCTTTTTTGTGTGTTTTTTTTTTTTTTTTGTGGTTTTCTTCGATTGCTTGTGCTCTAGTGTAGTGATGGCCGATGATTTGTCCGATCTGGGTGTTAGTTGGGTGGAGGAGTCATCGCTGCGTGAAGATGTTGTGGCTGCTGTAGACGCCCATGGCGATATGGAGAGGGCGGCCGACGAGGCGGAACTTCAGCGCCGTTGGGCCGCATTGGAAGAGATGGAAAGAGTAGTGGCGGAGCTGCAGGAACAGTGTGAGTCTGCCAAGCTGCAGGCCGGTGTGGTAGTGCTTGGAGGTGGTGTTGGTGGGGCCGCAGTGGGAGTGGGAGGAGCGGAAGATAAGAAGAAGATGGAAAGTGGAGATGGAGAGGCGGTGTTGCGATTTCGCCTGGCGAAGGCGCAGAGAGAAGTGGAGAGTCGAGCCACCGCCGTACGCCGTTGGCAGAAAGAGATGGAAACACGACAGCGACAACGTGCAGAAGCCGCAAGGCGACGAAGGCAGGCGGCGATGAGTATGAACAGTACAGCCGCAAGCAGTCGATCGGTGGTAGGACCTGCAGCCAATAAAACAACTCCTGCTGGACCTTCATTAAATCTGGCGGCCTCATTAAGTGCCTTAACTCCTGCCGCTTCAGCTGTAACGATACGAAGTGGTACATCAACATCAACATCAACAACAGCTGCTGCAAGAAGAAGAAGTGAGTCAAAGTATCCACCAGGTGCCTTTGATGTCTCAAACAATATCACACTCTCTTCCCTCTCTGGAATCCCAACACTGCCACAGTCTTCTCGTGATGGGGGTAATAATAATAATACTACTAGTAATAATAATAGTCATAGTGGTATTAGTAGTAGTAGTAGTAGTGGTAGTCTAACAGGGGGAAAGACGTTTACAAGTGTGGCGGAGTACGCAGGAGGGGCTCTTTTACCTTCATTACACCGTGTTACCCTCTCACGTGCAGAGTTGCGCTCTACCTCGAAAAGGTACGCCGATGATGGTGATATTGATGCATTTCACGCGCGACAAGAGAAACGAAAACGTTTAGAAGAAGTTGCTGCATGTGTGTCGGCTTCACACCCAACATTACCCCTCTCTGGTGGAGTAAAAAAGGAAGAGAATCAAGATGGAATATCTGTTAAAGTAAAACAAGAGAAAAAAAATGAAGATGAATATGAAGAAGGAAAAACTGGAACTAGTCATACAGAAGCAATAGATGTTGATGCAATTATGGAAGAATCTGATGAAATTGGTGAAAATATATTAAGACAAGTTACTGTAAATCAAAGTGGTATCAGCAATAATGGATCTATTAAAAAGGAAGAACGAGAAAAGTTTGTCTCTCTAGTACCTGGTATCACATTATGTGAATCTATTTATAGTCGTTTACTAGATCATCAACGAGAGGGAGTTAAATGGATGCTACAACTTCATGTACAAAAAGTAGGTGGCATTCTAGGAGATGAGATGGGTCTTGGTAAAACGATACAAGTGGCTGCCATGTTAAATGCTTTGCATAACTCTCAACAATTACGTGGACCATGTTTAATTGTATCACCCTTAACAGTTCTGCAGCAATGGGTGATGGAGATGCATAGATGGGCACCGTATATGCGTACATGTATTATGCATGAGAGTAGTGCCTCTAAAGTGGGTCGTGAAGAACTTATTGCGTCTATTAGAGGGACTCCAGCGGTGTTACTAACAACCTATGCAGGAGTTCGACAACATTGTCAACTCTTGCATACTGCAAGATTTCAATATATTATTCTTGATGAAGGACATAAGATTAGTAATCCAGATACGACAGTAACTCTTGCTGTAAAGTCATTTCCAACCCCTCATCGTCTTATTTTATCAGGTACACCTATTCAAAATACACTGAAAGAACTTTGGTGTTTATTTGATTTTGTTAAACCTGGTTTACTTGGTACAATGACTAAATTTGTACAGGAATTTGAAGAACCCATTAATGCCAGTAAAGATCTTCGGGCTTCTTCATTAGTACTGGCAACTGCGGTAGAATGTGCACGTGCATTACAAGAACGTATCTCACCTTATTTGTTGCGACGACTTAAACGGCAAGTCATGAAAGATGCGTTACCGCAAAAGTATGAACGTGTAATACGATGTCCATTAAGTGATGCGCAGTTAGAAGCATATGTGGAACTTCTCACTTCACCACGAGTACAACAATTACTCAGTAGCACTTTATCCTATACACAAATGATGGGTGCACTTGACCGTGATGGCCGTGACTCTAGTGGTTCCCTACACACCGCCGGAAGACGTTTTCAAATGATGGCAAGACATCAACAACAACATAATGGAAGTGGAATTCGCCCTGAAACCTTTCGTGTATTAAATGAACTTCGACAAATCTGTAATCACGTGGATGTGTTTCGTCTTCGACAATCCATCGCTAATGGTGGCGGAGATGATTATGATGATGATGATGATGATGGTAATGATGGGAATAGTATGACTACTACCAATCATAATAATAATAATAATGGTAATAATGGTATGGCTAGTGTAGGGAGACGTCGCCGTGTGTCTCGTCCCTCACTTCGCAGCAATCTTCCTGTGAATTACGATGGTAGTGGAAAACTGCAAACACTCCGTCGTCTTCTCACCGTTTGGCGCCGTGGTGGACAACGTGCGTTAATCTTTTCACAAACACGTCTATTACTGGATGTGTTGGAGAATATGTGTGAACAGGAGGGACTTGCCTATATACGCTTGGATGGATCCACCGGTGGACCACAACGACAGGCACTTATTCATCGTTTTAACACCGATCCCAACGTGACAGCCGCTCTCCTCACCACTCGTGTTGGTGGTGTTGGTGTGAATTTAACAGGAGCCGATCGAGTGGTGTTGGTTGATCCCGATTGGAATCCCGTAACGGATGAACAGGCACGTGAGCGGGCGTGGCGCATTGGACAAACCCGTGATGTGGGTGTGTATAGACTTATTGCAAGTGGAACAGTTGAAGAGGCGATACTGCGGCGGCAACTGGCCAAGACGTATGTAACGGAGAAGGTGTTAAGTAATCCAACACTGCAGCGGTTCTTTCACCAACATGAAAACCTCGCAGAGACATTTTATCTCGGTGCTGAGTATGATAGTCGTATTCCAGTGGGGAAGAAACATGTGATGGTGGCTCAGGAACTCTCTCCACTCCTAGAAAAGGAAGAGGAAGAAGAAGAGGAGGAAGAGGAAGAAGATAAAGAACATACAAATGTGAATAGAAATAGTGCTCATGCGGTACAGGATAAACCGGAAGTGTGTGTGAAACAAGAAAAGGGCGTATCGGTCTATCGAGTGCGACCCCCAATGCCAATTAATAATAATAATAATAACAACAACAATAACCCTTCACATCCCAATCATATTAACAATAATAATAATCATCATCATCATCATCATATTAATAACAATACCCCCCGTAGACCCACACCCAAACCCATCAACACACCACCAACAGTGGCTGAGAAGAACAGACGTGTTGGCGGCGGGGCCAATTGGGCGGAAACGGCGTTACTGCAGGATCTCGTCGACGGTCAAGAAGTGCGCATCTCCGGCGACGACGCGGTGGCCCGGCGACTGGCACGACTCTCCGCAACGCAAACAATGCTGCGAGTCACGAATACCGTTCGCACAATGGAACAACAGCAGGCAGAGATGCGAATAAAGTTGGAGAAGGGAGAAGATTAAAGAAGGAAGAAGGAAGAATGAAAAAGAAAAAAAGGGAAGGAAGGAGGAAAGAGTATGTTTTTTTTTTTTTTGTTCTTGCTCATAGTGAAGAAGAGGATGGAAAGAAAAAAAAAAAAAAAAAAAAGAGGGTTAAAGTGAGATGTGAAAAAAACTGATCTCTGCAGTGTGTTAAGGCGAAACGAGTAATACTTTTTTTT